TGTGAACATATACATTGAACTGATTACCTTTCTCCCACCCCTTTGCCCTCAGTAGTTCTTCTTGGCCAGCTTTTAATGTAGTAATTATATGAACCTGTTTTATTTCTCCAAAATCTCCATGAGATGTTATTGTCCCTACTTTCTAGATGAGGAAACATAGCAAAGATAAGCTGTTTAATTTGTCCACGGTGGTTGGTCACACAGTTAGTAAATGCAGAGCCAGTGCAGACCAACTACTTAACCTGTGTGATACGTTTGCCCCCCTTCGATATTTTTTGTTTGTTTGTTTGTTTTTCGAGACAGGGTTTCTCTGCGTAGCTTTGCGCCTTTCCTGGAGCTCACTTGGTAGCCCAGGCTGGCCTTGAACTCACAGAGATCTGCCTGCCTCTGCCTCCCGAGTGCTGTAAAGGCGTGTGCCGCCGCCGCCCGGCCCCCCTTCGATATTAATCCAAAATAAGATTGAGTTTCTGGAGCCGGGCATCGTGGCCCACACCTTCAATCCCAACACCCTGGAATCAGAGACAGGCCGATGATCTCTGTGAGTCGAAGGCCAACCTGGCCTACGTAGTGAGTTCCAGGACAGCCAGGGCTACACAGTGAGACCCTGCCTTGCAAATAAACAAACAAAAATTCTGGGACTAGAGGAACGAAGAAGATGGACGACTTAGCGGTGAAGAGAGATTGCCGCTCGTGCAGAGGAAGCAGCTCTGTTCCCAGCCTGCAGAGTGACTTACAACTGCCTGTAACTTCTGACCCCCACTTCTGGCCTCCTCATGTACCAGGGACACATGTGGTACATATACATACATACATGTGGGTAAACACTCAAACAAAAAATAAATGAAGCCGGGCAGTGGTGGCGCACGCCTTTAATCCCAGCACTCAGGAGGCAGAGCCAGGAGGATCTCTGTGAGTTCGAGGCCAGCCTGGTCTACAGAGCGAGATCCAGGACAGGCACCAAAACTACCCAGAGAAACCCTGTCTCAGATAAATAAATAAACAAATGAATGAATGAATGAATGAATGAATGAATGAATGAATGAATAAAGAGAATCTTAATACTAAAGATCCTGGAAATAGGCACCACCCCTAGTTCTGAATCGGTCCTTTCTTCTGCTTTAGTAGACTCTGATTTCAGGTCTTTGACAACCTCGTCTAAACAGGAAGACTGGGATTGCTCCTGTCAAAAGATACCTGCGACGCACTAAACAGGAATGAAACACCTTGGACAGAAACATGATGCCAGTTTAAGAACATGATTCTTCAGGGCTGAAGCAGCCCTCTCTGGGCATGCTTTCTTGACTTCTAGAAAATAAGCCATTTTCTTCCATGATTTCAAATGAGTCAGTATGTATGAAATATACACGTGTAACTGGTGTTTCCCTCTCCCCCCAGCCAGCTCCCAAATAATGACCCTGAGATTTCTTATTATGAAATTCCTAGCTAGTTCTTATAACTTAAATTAATGCATATCTTTTAATCTGTGTTCTCTTACGTGGCTCGGGTACCTTAACTGTGTACTGCCCGTGCTGGTTCCTCTGCATCTGGCTGCAGACTCCGCCTTTTTTCTTCCTCACTGTACCCAGAAGTCCCGCCCAACCTTTTGCTGCCTCGCTATTGTTGGTCAGCTTTTTATTACACCAGTCACAGCAATACACCTTCGCATAGTGTAATAGTGTACAACACTTCTTAAATCTCTGTGGTTTTGTGTGTGTGTGTGTGTGTGTGTGTGTGTGTGTGTGTGTCCATTGAGGCATAAAGTGGAGAATAAAGTGCATTGTAACTCATCAGCACTGTGTGGACCACATCTTTCTTTTCCTGCATCACCAGCACTAAGTCAGCTGTGTGCTGCTTGTATGTATGATCTACTTGTAGCAAGGGTGGCTCTTGCTTTGGTGAGAGGCTAACCTGAAGGAGAAGGAGGAGGAAAGTATCAGAGGTACTTCCACTAACCTGACACTGTGCAAAGCATTAATGCTTGACTCTGAAGTGAGAGCCAACAGTAAACAGCACGAAAACGTCCAATAAAGCCAAATGCATGGTTGCACATTCCTATAATCTCAGTACTTGGGAGGCTGGGAGGAGAAGATCCGGGGCTTCAAGAGATTAGTTAACACAGTGGTTTGAGGCCAGCCTGAGCTACATGAGACACTGCCTACAAAAAAATAAAAAGAAAGAAAAGGAAAAGGAAAAAAAAGTGCTGTAAGGCTATTTTTACTTCTTAAATCTCTGTAGTTGTGTGTGTGTGTGTGTGTGTGTGTGTGTGTGTGTGTGTGTGTGTGCGCGCGCTCGCTCGCGCGTGCTGTCTGCCTCTGGGCATCATTGCTGGGAACTGAACTGGGTCTTCTGGAATAACAGCAAGGGCTCTTTATTATAGAGCCATCTCTCCGGGCTCAGGCATTTTTATAATGGATCAACTTTTACTCAAAACCTCCTATAGTAATGTTTTTATTCTGAGTAAACTTGCTCCTCTATAGGGTAAGTTTATGGAGTAACAATGCAATAACAGCCAATTAACTAGTCATTGAAATTAACTCATTTTTATGGGTGACAGCCTATACTATGAAAGAGGAAAAAAATTAATTGAAATTCATAATACTGCAATAAATCAATTGTGGGGATGTAGCTCAGTAGTAGAACATTTTTCCAGGATGCCCCAGGACCTCGGTTTGTTCCCAGCAACAACAAAAAAGAAAAAAAAAAGATGTGGGGAGGAAAAATTGTCTAACCATCATCCATCTTTAAAAATTAGGAAAATAAGCTGGGTGTGGTGGCGCACGCCTTTAATCCCAGCACTCGGGAGGCAGAGCCAGGCGGATCTCTGCGAGTTCCAGGAAAGGTGAAAAGCTACACAGAGAAACCCTGTCTCAAAAAACAATAATAATAATAATAATAATAATAATAATAATAATAATAATAATAATAATGGAAAATAATGCTTTTTAACATGAGTTTTGTTTAAAAGTTCATATTAATACACAAAAGAGAAGTTGATCTCTACTAATTCTATAAACTGGAATTATATGCTAGACATTAACCTGCATCATCAAAAGAAATGTATTTCATCTAACTTTGTAATATTTGTTTAGCAAAAAGACAGTTTTACACAGTCTTACAAGTAGTTAACCCAGTGAGATCACTATAAGTTCAAAACACTGGCGCCTTTGAGGATACACACAGCTGCACTTTGAGAGGCCTCTCAACGCTCTGGGAAGCTGTGGAATCTCTTGTCTTTCCCTGGAAAAGTATTTATAGACTATGATTGGCAAGTGTTCCTCGGCCTGACTGCATACTCAGATTGCCTGGGAAGCTGTTAGACTAGTTAATATCCAAGCTGTATCCATGACTAATTAATTAAGAATCTCTGTAAATGGGGACCCAGTCGTGGATGGGTTAAAGCTGCCTAGTAATTGATTCCAATGTGTAGGGAAGACTTGCAGCCACTAGTATAGATTCTGTGGCTTAGGCACTTCTCATGATTCTGCTCTCTTGCTGTTTGATGACTCTGTGTACAAAAAGAGTGAACTGCCTTTTCTGAGCCTGGAGAATTGAATTAAAGCAGATAACCAAAATGATATTAACCCTAAGGCATTCCTTTTGTGCCTACTCATTTCAAATCTACAAAAATATGTTCCTTTATTGTTTCGAAAATTAGGATAAAGTGTCTGGCTACCTCAGTAAAGCATCCGATTCTTAGACATTGGGGTAGCTTTATTTTATGTGTATGAGTATTTCGCCTGCGTGTGTGTGCGTCCCATGTGTGCCTGGTGCCAGTGGAGTAAGGAGAGGGCACTGGATCCCCTGGAACTGTAGTTACAGACAGTTGTGAGCTACCATGTGGCTGCTGGGATTAAAAGCTGTATCCTCTAGAAGAGAAGCCTGGTGCTGTTAACCGCTGAGCCATCTCACCGGCCCAAGGATGGCTCTTTCTTGTTTGTTTGTTTGTTTGTTTGTTTGTTTGTTTCTGCTCTTTACTACTTCCCAGATGAAAAGAACACTCCGATTTTGTTTGCTTACATGCTGGCTTCAAAGCTGGGATCTTTGACATGTCAGATAGACACTCCTCCTACCACTGAGCTATACCCTCAGCCCTAATTTCACTTTGTGTGTGGGTGTGGGTGTGAGTGTGCATGTGCGAATGTATGGAGGCCAGAGGTCAACCTCTGTCCTCACTCCTCAGAAGCCAGCAATCTTGGGTTTTGAGACAGGGTCTCCCACTAAGATCCGGGTCTCACTGATTAGCTTAGGCTGACTGATCCTCTTTCTCCTTCCCCGGTTCCAGGATTACAAGGGTACCACCAAGCTTTTTATGTGGGTGCTAGGGGTCACACTCAGGTCCTCATGCCTACATGACAAGCCCTTTATCAACTGAGCCATCCCCCTACATCCTGAACCCTCATTTAGAATGACATCTACAGTATTCCTATGAGCATATTGTTGAGTATATCAAACGCAGAGTTTTTATAGCCTGCTTTGCATGCATATTCTACTATCACTTTGACAATGGCTCTCTTCTGTATTTTATCTCTTCATAACCTTTTTTTAAAAACAGAGTCTCATGGAGCCCCAGTTGGCCTTTGAGCCTCAACTCACTATGTAATGGAGGATGGCCTTGAACTTATGGTCCTCCTGCCCCCTCCTCCCTAAATAATACAGTTACAGGCGTGCACACCATAGTCTCAGTTTGAGGGATAATAGCTTAGTAGTGCTGGGGATTGAGATCAAAGTTTTTATTCCAAATAGTTCCACTCTGACTTCTTCTGGAATGCTTCTTTTTCATACATCTATTAGCGATGCCACTCTGCCTCCCTCCCTGAGCTGTGACCCCTGAAGAGAGGCAATGTTGAGTCAGTCTTTGCAGTGCGTTAATCCCGACCCCTTCCACACAGTCGGCACCCGAGTGGTGAAGTCGGCTCACAGACACTGCAGCAGCCACTCGAGAATGCACATCGTTCTGATCGGAAGTGAGTGACAGGCATCATCCTTTTCTCCTTCTCCAGGCTTGTATTTCAGCAATCGGAAAAGTTTGCGAAGATGGAACGCCAGTACCAGTTACTGCAGACAGAAAGCGGCGAGTTTCAAGGACTGCGGAATAAAATCAGTTTCATTTCAGACAAGGTAAACCATTTCCAGCTGGGCCTGACGGCACACACCTTTAATCCCAGCACTCGGTAGGCTGAGGCAGGCGGATCTCTGTGAGTTCAAGTCTGGCCTGGTCTACATAGCAAATTCCTGACCAGCCATGGCTCAACAAACAAACAAGTATCGTTGATCTTTAGATATGAAAATATAATATGGGGGGATTGGGGATTTAGCTCTGTGGTAGAGCGCTTGCCTAGCAAGCGCAAGGCCCTGGGTTCGGTCCTCAGCTCTGAAATATAAATATTTCATATATATATATATATATATATATATATACATATATGCCAGGCAGTAGTGGCACACACATGTAATCCCAGCACAACAAATATAAGGCATGGTCTCTTCCTGGAAGGAATTTAGAGCTATTTACCTGGCCAATTAACCAGCCCTTTGAGGCAGATTTCAGTCACATTAAGCTTCCCCACTTCACTCTCCTGACTTCTTACCTCTCCTCTGAACATTCGTTGTGTGTTGAATCTGTCATCACACTGATGTCACACTTCTGGGTTTTTTAATGGTTTGCTTATTTGTTTGTTTTTGACTCCCGTACTTCTGATTGTTAGCATTTAGAACAAACACTGCATCTTTCCTGTCTCTCTAACACCTAGAAACAGAGCTAGCTCCTAGAGGATGCTCATAGTTCTCATCAGGACCCTAGACTGTCTGATCAGAAGATCTAAAGCATCGTCTGCTCCATCCAGTTAATATTTTATCAGCAGTATCTTGCACAAGGTCTGGCAAAAGTGAACACTCACGGCACTGTATGTGGCAACCGATAATACAATAGGTACCACAAGATGTTCTGACTATTAGAACCAGGGCTGTGGAGTTGGCTTAGAAGTATTAGGAATCATCTAAGGTTTGTTTTGTTTTATTTTGTTTTGTTTTTTGAGACAGGGTTTCTCTTGTGTAGTTTTGGTGCCTGTCCTGGATCTCGCTCTGTAGTACAGGCTGGCCTCGAACTCACAGAGATACTCCTGGCTCTGCCTCCCAAATACTGGGATTAAAGGTGTGCACCACCACCGCCCAGCTAAGTTTTTTTTAAATGTTGCCCCATGATGTGCTTAGTAGTTTTCAAAGCTTAATCTGTTAAGTAGTATGTAAAATGATTTAGAGAGGACATGAATAATAGATAGTACTTCTGGGAGACTATGCTTGGGCACTGAAGTCTGGGTCAGGACTCCACCAAGTGTTTCCATATGTCTCCCCTTGTTCTAGTGTGTGCAGATTGCTTTGCTTCCTAAGTAAGCTGCTGCAGGGCCGAACTGTGCCCTCTTCAGTGTTCTCTCTCAGGACAGTGCTGCAAACACTTGAAAGCTGAATCATCATTTCTAGGTCTTTTCGTCATCTCTAAAGCTTTTATCTATGTGACGGTAGAGATTATTGAAGTCCATGGCATAGCCCTTCCAAATATCCCAGCCCATTCTAAGGAGTCCCACAGGCTTACACTGCCATTTGATGTAGCTTGTCTCAACTACTGTTATAAAAATTCATTTCTGCCTTTTTGCCATCTACTTCTAGTTCTTTGTCCACAAGAGGTTAGCAAAAATAATAATAGCAATTCAGCCAGAAACTTCCAAAATCATAGGTTTCAGAAGAGGTAGCAAATTTTACACAGTTGCACTTCTTCCCTAAAAGCCAAATAGCCATAAAAATGACATCTGCGTTACTTTCCATTGTCATGAAAAAAGAAACTCCAATATACTTCAGAAAATGTTAACATCATTTCTTTTGACTATGCCCTCATGACAAAAATATGTTGAATAACTAGGACTGTGAGTTCAAGTATACATTTTTCCAACATAGGGCTACTCTATTAAATTTGTTAAAAACTACTAATGATAAATATTTCTGTCCGTGTGATTCTGATGGACTTAGATATTTTAGGTGTCTTCGGGATTTGAACCTTGTATGTGTTATGCTTCTGATTGTTAACATGTTTCTCTAATATAAAAATGATTAAGTGGCTCGGGGTTGTTTGTGTCATAAATGCAGCTTGAGTCTACCGAAAGTATCCTGCAGGAAGCTACATCATCCATGGCTCTGATGGCCCAGTTTGAACAGGAAGTATCTGGCCTCCAAAGATCCATACAGGACATTGAGAATAGTGAAGAGATGCTCACACAAAAGATGCAAAACCTTAATGAGAAATTCCAGAACATTACAGATTTCTGGAAGAGAACTCTGGCAGAAATGAGCAATAATACAGCCACTTTCAAATCAGAAGCAAAGCATATACATTCTCAAGTAACCATGAAAATTAACTCAGCTGAGCAAGAATTGAAATTGCTCACTGACCGGCTGAGAGATTTGGAAGACAGCACCCTGCGAAATGTGAGAACAGTAAGCAGGCAAGAAGAGGAAGACCTTCTCCGAGTGCAGGCGCAGCTGAGCTCTGATTCGGAAGCAGTTGAGAGGCTGCAGGAAGCCCAGCACGCTCTCCTAGCCAGAGAGGAAGATCTGACCGGTAAACTCTCCAACTACGGACCCAAAGTTGAGGAGTGTAAGGCACATTTGCCGGCTGTGGAAAATGCGGTCCACTCCATTCTCAGAGTCTCTCAGGATCTGATGGGGACAGAAAAGAAAATGGAAGACCTGACTCTGCAGATGTTTAACATGGAAGATGACATGCTAAGGGCAGTGTCTGATATAATGGAGATGCAGAAGACCCTGGAGGGGATTCAGTACGACAACAGCATCTTAAAGATGCAGAACGAACTGGTTGTTCTGAAAGGGAAAGTTCACGATTTCATAGCCTACTCAAGTGCAAGAGAGAAGGGGACCTTGGGGAAATATGACCTAGAAAACAAGGGAGCTGGTGATTATTAGGGTCCCAGCACACTTGATGGACTGTATTATTCAGTGGAAATCAGTCAGTTCTATGTTTTTTCAGTCATTTTTCTCTGCCTCACTTCATAGAGAATAAGTGGAGTATGGTCCGTATGGAGTGTGCACATAATCACAGTTCTCTCTTTTTAAGCTCTAAAACTTATTTTGACCATTTTAAATAGAAATAGTTCTGCGGGGAGGTGGTGGTGCACACCTTTAATCCCAGCACGCAGAGCCAGCAGCAGGCAGATCTCTGAGTTCAAGGCCAGCCTGGTCTACAGGGGGAGTTCCAGGACAGCCAGGGCTACACAGAGGAACACTTTCTCAGAAAAAAAGAAAGAAAAAGAAACAGAAAGAAAGAAATAGTTCTAAAATATATATTGCTCTACTTTTTAGGCAATATATTTAATATCTACATGTTTTTCCAATAGTTAATAGACATTATTATGAATTGCAGTTTTTGGTTTTTTTCCGAGACAGGGTTTCTCTGTGTAGCTTTGGAGCCTGTCCTGGAACTCACTTGGTAGCCCATGCTGGCCTCGAACTCACAGAGATCCACCTGCCTCTGCCTCCCGAGTGCTGGGATTAAAGGCGTGCGCCACCACTGCCCGGCTTGAATTGCATGTATTATACTAGAGATATATATAGAGAGAGAGACATAGATATCTATATATAGATAACTATGGCAAATATTGAGACGGTTTACCATTTCACTGTGTGACCTGAGTTTTCCGTTTTTCAAAGCTGTGTCTGTTTCTCGTGCTTTTTCTGCCTCCTGCTCTTGCAGTCAGTTGGTAGCACACCTGCCTCTGCCAGCTTCTCACATTCAGACGACAAGTTCCTAGGAATTTCACGTCAAGTGGAAGGTAATAGGCCTGCAGGAGAGCCCGGGGCTCTTCTCTGAGGTAACGCCAGGTTCTCAGAACTATGGCGCCTGGGAAGTAGTTTCCCTTTTTGCAAAGGTTCTAAACTGTGTTACAGACACTTAGAAGTTTAACATGTGAGTAAATGTCTTCTTACTTTGTCCTCATTAATATCTTCTACTGACTGGTTATGCTTTGAAGCATGAGCGTATGGAGTGCCTTTGTGTGCCGACTTTAATTTCCAAAGCTTGAATTGTGTGTCACTGGAGTTCACTCACTACAGCTAATAGATACTTAAAATACAAATACGCAGTAAGCCTGTGCTGCTTTAAAGATAAAACAACGTAACAATAAATTGTGATGATTATGACATATTTATGTCATTATTTTACAGATTCCCCAACTTATGAAACTGTTTGTTTTACATACTGATTTTATTTTAGGCTTGGTGGCGCACACCTTTAATCCCAGCACTCAGTAGGCAAAGGCAGGCGGATCTCTGTGAGTTCAAGGCCAGCCTGGTCTACACAGTAAGACTGTGTCTCAGATGATAATAATAATATTAATAATAATAATAATAATAATAGTAATAGTAATAAGGCCAGGAGATAGCTCAGCAGGTGAAGCGCTTGCTGTGAAAGCGTGATGCTTGAGTCCACCCGGCACTGACATGAGAAGTTGGGTCCTTTAATCCCAGCCCTGGAAGGCAGAGCCAGAACGCAAATATCACATGAGAAAACTATTGAAAAATCTGTGTCTATGTATCACTCTAAGAAATTTGCCAAGCCGGGCAGTAGTGTTACATGCCTTTAATCCCAACACTCAGGAGGCAGAGGCAGGCGGATCTCTGTGAGTTTGAGGCCAGCCTGGTCTACAGAGAGAGATCCAGAACAGCCAGGGCTACACAGGGAAACCTGCTGGTGGCATGTCAGAGGAGCTTCGGATGGCAGTTGACTTCAGGGTGTCATCCCACCAGGAGTCGATCCCTGATGGGTGAATCTCGGATAGGCAAGGCCCCAAGACCACAGGCTCCAGAGTGTCTTTTGTTCTGCTGTGCCTTCACATGTTTGCTGCTGCCATCTTTCTCTGGTGTCTGGCATGGTGTGAACGGGTGTTGGGAGATCCCTGCTGCCTGTAATGTAGTGTGTTTATCTCATGGAAACATCCCGTTCTACTGGGCATTTTTTACCTGTGGATTATTATGAAGATGATTTCTCCTTAGGCTGTACTGTCTAATTGATAATAATAATGCTAGTTTAAATAGAATTTTTATGAGAAAAAATAAAACAAGGAAGTGTTATACAGCTAGAACATATAAGTTTCTATTGAGGACTCATATAGACTGTGGCTCAAGTTAATGATTAAGAAAAAAATGATTGAGTCCCAGTAGCCCAGCTAATTTAAATTATTTTAATCTTAATGTTGGGAGGTATGTTTACAGGTTTCAGAGTGCATCATAGCTGAAACAAAGCTGTAGCTGAAACTGACAGAGATCTCAAAATTGTAATCAAAGCAATTAATAAACCGTTTTGGCTATGGGAGGGCAGTAGCATAAACCCTGTCTAGAAAAAAAAACAAAAAACAAAAAAGAAATTTGCACTGGGGCTGAAGAGATGACTCAGTGGTTAAGAGCACTGGTTGTTCTTGCAGAGGACCTGGGTTTGATTCCCAGCCTTCACATGATGGCTCACAACCATCTGTAACTCGGCTTCCAGGGTATCTGGCACACTCTTTTGACTTCTGCAAACACCAGGCATGGCATGCGTGTGGTGCATGGACATATCCATATATATGTATATACAAAACATTCATATGCATAGAATAAAATAAGTGCTTTTTATTTCTTATTTATCAAAATTGTCATTGGAGAGGTCTAGATACATTTAATGAATCTTCCTTTGTTTCCCTTTTGTGTGTTTTAGAGCTTTTTATTTTATTTTTGAGACAAGGTCTCAGTATGTACCCCAATTAGTCTTAACTCACCATCTTCGTGCTTCTGCATTTCAGGTGATAGGGGTCACAGGTATATGCAATGACACAGACTTCATTTTGTTGTGCTTTTTGAAAACTGCCAATATTCTAATATACATTTTTGTATCTCTGTAATTGATAATAAATTTTATATCAATTAGCTTATACAGAGTACTGTCCATTTATTTAAAACTTTCAGCACAGATAAAGCAGTTTTACAGCTAGGCATGGTAGTACATGTCTGTAACTCCAGGTTGAAGCAGGAAGAGTCCAAGTTCATGGCCAAGCTGGGCTACATAGCAGAACACTAACAACAAAAATCTTGCAGAATGAGAGGCTGAAGAGATAGCTCTGTGGTTAAGAGGGCTCCTGCAGAGAACCAGAGTTCAGTTCCCAGTGCCCACAAAAAGCTGTTCACAATCTCCTGTGACTCCAGCTCTGGGGGATCAGTGCCCTTTTTGGCCCCCATAGGCACTGGCTGCTCTTCCAGAGGACCTGGATCATATTCCCGGCATCCACATGGCAGTTGACAACTGGAATTCCAGTTCCAAGGCGCTCATTGCTCCTTTCTGACCTCCACAAGCACCAGACACGCAAGTGGTACATAGACACACCTGCAGACGAAACACCATACACGTAGTATACTAAAAGAATGTTTTAATGATTTATTTATTACATAGACAGTGTTCTGCCTGCATGTATGCCTGCAGGCCAGAAGAGGGCACCAGATCTCATGATAGATGGTTGCTGGCACTTGAACTCAGGAACTCTGGAAGAGCAGCCAGTGCTCTTAACCTCTGAGCCATCTCTCCCGCCCATAAAAGAATAAAATTACAGAAGGGGCTGGAGAGATGGCTCAGCTGACGGAGTGTCTGCCTAGCATTCCTGAAGCACTGGGTTCCATTCCCAGCCAGCACTGCATAAAACCAGGCCTGAACACCTGGGAGATGGAAGCAAGAAGATCATAAATTCAAGGTCATCCTCAACCACATGGAGAGCTCAAGGTCAACCTGTCTCTACATACACATATGCATACATGCATACTTATAAATAATTTAAAGGAATAGCTATGGATGTAGCTGAGAGAAGAGCGCCTGCCTGTCCTATGCAGGGTCCTGAACTTGATCTCCAGCACTAAAAAGGAAGGGAGAGAAGGAGAGTGTAGGGGGAAATAAACAAAGGACTTTGCCGTTTCTAGCCTGTTAGCACACTGTATTGAGTTTCCATTTTAGAAGTTCATAATAAATCCTCTTCCAAGTCACCAAATGAGCCAAAGCGGCTCCCTAGTGACGAGGCCTCCTAAGAGAACGAGCTCGTTCTGAGACATCTCAGTCGAGCCATGCTGTTAAGCTGTGCTTACTCCACAGAGGTAGATACACGAGCAAATGGCAGCCTAGAGATAAAATAGGCAAAGGGAGCCTTCTGTTCCTCTATCCATGGGACACTCTTCAGCAAGTAAGTGTACTGCAAAAGGTGAACCCTAAAAATAAAATAGTTTGCAGTTGCTAGATTTCCTTTCTGTTTGTAGCTACTCATCAATGTCATACTCGGAATAACTTCATCACAAGCTGACTTCTCTGCCAAAAGCACCCTCTGGGCCACCTACTCCACCAATCATTGATGGAGCATAAAGCTATTGAAGAGGAAAAAATAGACACTGAAATCAAGCATGTAATGGAGCAAAGAGGGGGGCTTGCTACCTTGAGTTAAATGGTCTACCTCATTTCAGCAGATCACTGTAACCCTTCTGTGGGAGAATATTTTTTCGGGTGTGTTACTTTTGTTTATGTTGCATTTGTTTAATTCTGTGAAGCTGTGCGACTGTGCCTGTCTAAATCACCTGATGGTCTAATGAAGAACTGGCCAATAGCGAGGCAGGAGAAAGGATGGGCGGGGCTGGCAGGCAGAAGAAAGAGATGGAGGGGGGAAGAAGAGCTAGTAGCCAGAGAAGGAGGAGGACTCCAGCGGCCAGTCACCCCGCTACACAGCAAGCCATGGAGTAAGAGTAAGATGTACAGAAGGAAGAGAACGGAAAAGCCCGGAGGCCAAAGTAGACGGGGCAATTTAAGTTAAGGAAAGCTGGCTAGAAACAAGACAAGCTAAGGCCGGGCATTCATAATTAAAAATAAGCTTCCATGTGTGATTTATTTGGGAGCTGGGTGGCAGGTCCTCCCACAAAAAGAGTAACCACACACACACACACACACACACACACACAACACCCTTCTGTTACAGTCACTGCTTTTTAAATCTTCATTCAAAATACTATTCTGGGAACTAGGGATGTAGATCAGTGGGTAAAGCTGAGAACCCGAGTTTGGATCCCCACCCACATAAAATTTGGGTGTAGAGGGGTACAGATGGCTTAGTGTTTAAGAATGCTTGTAGAGGTCTCAGTTTGGCTCCCAGTACCCACGGGGAGACTCACAGCTCCCTGTAATTCCATTTCCAAGACATCTGAGGCCCTTGTCTGGCCCACATGGGCTCCTGATCTATGTGATATACCCAAACTAACACAGGTATACACATGTGAAAAAAAAAAACTTTTTTCTTTTTCTTTTTCTTTTTTTTTTTTTTTTCAAAAATTGGGTATAGAGGGCTGGAGAGATGGTTCAGAGGTTCAGAGCACTGCCTGCCTGTTCTTCCAGAGGTCCTGAGTTCAATTCCCAGCAACCACTCATCTATAATGAGATCTGATGCCTTCTTCTGGCATTCAGGCATGCATGTGGACAGAACACTATATACATAATAAATAAATAAATCTTTTAAAAAAAAATAGGGTACAGAGTATATGCCCATAATTCCAGCTCTTGATGGAGACAAGATGAACCTAGGAGCCCACTGGCCAGCCAGTCTAGCCAATCGGTGAGCTCCATGTTTATAGAGAGCCCTTGTCTTAAAAAAATAAGTTAATGCCATGTGTGGTGGCACAAGCCTTTGATCTCAGTTCTGAGAAGGCAAAGACATCTGGATCTGGTCTACATAGGACATTTCAGGCCAAAGGTACATAGTGAGACCCTGTCTCCACGAAAGAAAACAAAGAAAGAAAAGAAATATGTGGAGAGCAATAGCAAAAACACACTTGAAACACACATTGACTTCCAACCCCCACACACAAAAGACTATTCTGAGCATATTACATTTTTAACTTAGATTAACTATATATATATGTATATGTGTGTGTGTGCCAAAATGATCTTGAAAAGGTAACTGAGGGGCTGGAGAGATGGCTCAGAGGTTAAGAGCACTGGCTGCTCTTCCAGAGGTCCTGAGTTCAATTCCCAGCAACCACATGGTGGCTCACAACCATCTGTAATGAGATCTGGCGCCCTCTTCTGGCCGGCAGGGGTACATGCAGACAGAACACTGTGTACATGATAAATAAAATAAATCTTAAAAAAAAAAAAAAGATTTATCTTTAAAGAAAAGAAAAGGTAACTGAGTAAGCCAGTACAGTCTAAGAATGACGACCCATCAAAAGCATTGAGGAAATGTGTAGTTCCTCTAGAAAAACACCTGATGCCTGCAGAGTAAACTGTGTATCTTATCGCATGAAAAATGTTTTCAGCCTTCATATCTTCCTTTGGTTCCATGTCTTTTTCTCTGAGTTTTAAACAACCAGTTTCTCGACACTCTGCTTCCAAAACTACATAGTGAACACCCTGAAATCAGAGCCTGCCTTGGTCCTGCTTGCATGTGATACGCAGCACGGACAGTTGGATCAAACTGCTTTACTGTCAGTGGAAAGCAGTCGGAGGACAGCTTGCGGGAGTCTGCTCTCTCTCCATCTACCATGTGGGTCCCCCGGGTGATCACCTTGGCAACAAGCAGCTCTGCTCACTGAGCATCTCACCAGCCCTGCCAATTATCTTTTTTAAAGATTTTCATAAGTGTGTGTGTGTGTGTGTGTGTGTGTGTGTGTGTGTGTGTGTATCATCTACAAAGGTACCTCTGTAGGCAGGATAATGTTGTGGCATCCCCTGGAGCTGGAGCTACGAGGCTTGTGAGCCACCTAGTATGGGTGCTGAGAACCAAAGTCAGGTCCTCTGCAAGAGCAGCAAGCCCCCTCTCCAGCCTCCCAGTTATATATTCATAAAGCATTTTTAAATGCCTGCAATATCTTAATAAAACTTGTTTTTTAAGTGGAGGCATAAGGAGTTTCATACGAGTCAGGACTGCATAGCAAGACTCACGACCATGTCTTTAAATTAAAAAATAAATAAATAAAAATAAAAAATGCTTGCCCTGTACCCGTGTGGCAGACCTTATCTAGCATGCACGAGGCTCTGGTTCTGTCTCCAACACCACAGAGAAAGAAAAGTCAGGAGCTCTCCTCACCTGTAGTCAGACTATTCAGAAATCTAAGACAGATAGAAGGATCATTGGAGTCCAGAAGTTCAAAACCAGCTTGGGCAACAGAGCAAGACCTGTCTAAAAAACAAAACCAACCAAAGCAAAAACAAAAAGAGGTTATGCTGTCTTCTCAGTCCTAAACAATACCAAAGCGCCTCTGGAGAGTTCTTCCCTTCTCTAGCTCCAAAGAACACACATCTCTGTCTTCATTAGCGCCCCTGTTACTGTACCAAGGATATAAGAACCATCAAGAAAAGTCATTTCCAATAATGTTTGATGAAATGTCCTGAGTATGTTTATGAATAAGTTTCCTTATTCATTATTAGCAATATACTTGAGTTATTTTAAATCCTCTTTTCTAATTCCTTTTGGAGTTTTGTTTTTTGTTTTTTCAGTGCTGAGATTCAAAACCCAGAGCCCCCCCAAAGAGCAGTAAAATCGGGGGGGGGGGCATGAATTTTAAGTTGAATTTTCAACGTCATATTTTGACTAATTTAATCACTGTGGTATTGTGTTTCCTTATAGTATCAGAAATGTGAAGCTCTCATGGAACAACTCAAGGCTTTTCAAATAATGGCTCGTCTAAAGCTCCTGCAGGAAGAAATCCACGAGATGAAAATTTGGTCTAGCGGGATGACCGAGAAACACGGGATATTGAATAACTCGTTAACAAGTCTTTCTCAAGACATTACCAAAGCAGACCAAGGTACAACTTCCACGGCCAAAGACGTGGGTCTCAAGATTACGAGTGTGAAAACAGATCTCCGCCGCATTTCCGGTTTAGTGACGGAAGTCGCATCCTTAGCGGACTC